ATTGTGTTGCGTTAATTGCATTAAAAAGCCTGTGTTAATACATCCATAGACTGTGTGTTGTGGTGCTCCAAATTATAAAAAGGCTAATGCAAGTTTTTTTTTCTTTTGTTGATTTTAATGAATGGGCTGCCTTAATGCAACTCAGATTAACAAATGCATTAATGTACCACCAATATTTTAGTGTGAATGGACCCAGTTGTAGCTGTGACCCATGTGATAGGTCAATTAGACCTAAAAGAAGAGCTTCTGTGCTGGAAAGAGGGACAGAGGAATTTTGTAAATTGGAACTGTTGGATGCTAAGCAATGTACTGTACATTACAGGTGGCCTGGCAATACCATGGTATCCCTGAGAATGCGCTTTTTTCCTAAGGCTAGGTAGAGGGAAAATAAATAATAATAAAGTGTACCTGCACTAAATGCACTCTGAGTGGTGAAAGAGCTGCTAACACCAAAATGCAGGCAGCAATAAAATAATTATGAAAAATTAAAATGTAGCGCTAATTCATACCACAGTTGCACAAAATATGACAAATTAATACATTTCTCAAGAAAGTTCAATGAATGTGACTATGTGTTAGATAAAAAACCATATCTTCAAAAAGTGATGTGCCGCCAACAGGAAGAAGAAAGAGAGAATCCTCTACCATTGCCATTCACAGCCTCTTACAAGAAAATATGACCACAGATTTTGCTTCCGAAAACGGCAAATATGGAATAACAATGGACATGTTGGCCCCTGACAATGTCTGCATGTGACGAAACATGTAAGGTAGAGCTACGGCTTATGACGTCATCACGCCATGTGCCGCAGCCATTTTGTTGGTTAGAAACTTTAATGATCTTGCATTTTTAGTTCATCATATGTTTGTAAGTGCAATACTTTTATTAAACTTCAGATTATTTTAAAATACTACACTACGAGGAGCTTTTGTTCTCTTTGTATACATCCCATTATCTTTGACGCATAACACTGGATCTTTATCATCGAGTCACTAGCGGTGGAACTGCCTTTTTTAACACAGCATATATCCAACATGTCCATTGTTATTCCATATTTGCTGTTTTCGACCGCATGATCTGTGGTCATATTTTCCGGTAAGAGGCTGTGAATGGTGATGGTGGAGGATTCTTTCTTCTTTTTTTTTTCCTCTTGGCGGCACATCACTTTTTGAAGATATGGTTTTTATCTAACACATAGTCATGTTTATTGGACTTTCTTGAAGATTAGGTAGAGGGAAGCCTGGACTGGCTTTTTAGTGCCGCAGATTGAAAGTTATGATATTGACCATGACATTTCCCATACCTGTATATGCCCAGCTCATGGCACCAGCTGCTCTTGGCTACTGTAAATGGTAAACCATCTCAGAATGGCAGCCTCTGATACATAATGGACAAACATGACATGTGCAGGTGAAACTGACTCGAAGCAAGTTATACCTCTTAACATATAAAGTCAACTTGAACACTAAAACACACATGTACTATATGTACCAATAATTCAGTGTATGAATCATCAATGTATATCACTCTGTGGTTTTTTTTTTAGCTATATTTTAAACTGGCATTTTTAGTGCATGTCACTTCTATGATTTGATGGCCTTGACAGAACTCAAGAGTTTCCTTCCTATGTTTGCCTTATAGGGGTTTTCCTGCATAAATCGTGATCTGATAGTTTCTGTGGTTTAAATATCAATCATTGTGGAGATATGAAAACTACCAATTAATTCAGTTTTGCATTTATTTTAAATATCGAAATGTATCTCTACACAGAGGTGCTAAAAATATCATAAAATAGTATTCCAGGTTTCAGTGCACTTCTAGGAGTTTGGCTGGGCCAACTATTTCCATCACAAAACAATGCGGCTGTTGTGTGTGCTGTAAGAGGTCTTTCAGATGGGCAGCAGGAGGGCGATAAAAACAGGTGGCTGATCTATTAACTGCCCTGTGTGTGGTGTCAGGACAAGGTCATCTAGCTCCCAGGGGAAGATGACAAACTAAGCCTCCCCCATGTGTGAGGATCCTGTCTCAGCATAAATCTCCCCCCCTCAAAAAAAAAAGAACAGAACTAATCAGCAATCAGCATGCTCCCCCCCCCCCCCCCCCGCAAGCATAACTTCTGTTTGCAAGCCAAAATTCTCTCCAAACAACAATGCACACATTCCCCCTCCTCCCAGTATAAACCCCCGTCCAAGCACAAATCTTTGCCCCCCAATCTTGCCTCCAATGCTCCCAATTCCCCCACTCCTAGCACAAATCTCCCTCACCCAAAAAATCATCTCTCCATGCACACATCCACCTTCCTCTTAAATTTACCATCCAAGTACAAATCTCCAAATTCCCTCACCACCTCCTTGCACAAATCCCCTCCAATCCCCCTTCTTGTACAAATCCCCCCTCCTTACACAACCCTCCCAATCCTCCCTTCTAGCACAAACCCAAAATCCCCCCTTCTAGCACATATCCCCCATTCCCACCTCCTTGCACAAATCCCCCCTGCTAATCCTCCCTCCTAGCACAACTCACCCCAAACCCCCCTTCTAGTATAAATCCTCCTGCTAATCCCCCACTCGTAGCACAAATCCCCCCAGTCCCCCCTTCTAGCACAAATCCCCCCTGCTAATCCTCCCTCCTAGAACAACTTTCCCAATCCCTCCTTTTAGCACAAATCCCCCCCACTAATCCCCCCATCCCTGCACAAATCCCCCCACTAATTCCCTCTCCTAGCACACAATCCCCCCCAATCCCTCCTTCTAGCACAAATCCCCCCACTAATCCCCCTCTTCTAGCACAAATCCCCCACCAATCCCCTCTCCCAAATCCCCATCCTCCAATCCCCTGCCTATGACAAATTCCTCTAAATTCCTACTCCTAGCACAACCCCTTTGCTGATGACATTTACAGCTGTGTCTGCTGGAGCTGCACTAGAAAAATGTAGCATTGGAAACAAAAAGAAGCCGCAAAAGGACAGTTGGTAGTTTTTCCATGGGATAACTGTGCAGGAAGTGTGTTTGTTGGTTGCAGTATCTGGTGTTCTAAATATTTCCTGAAATGTACAGAGTTATCTATGGATGTTATTTTAATCCCTTTTACAGAAATGAGCCTATGAAAATATGTATAATAAATTTGTGGCCAGAGAAATATGCTGACCTCTTTTTGTGAAAATTCTAGTTTTCAGGGTATTGTGCTCTTCCCATAGCTTTGTGCGTAGGGATGAGCAGAATGGTATTGGAAAACCTGACTTTACCACAAAAGTATTGACTCTGCCGCTGGTGAATTGTTGCCAAAGTTGGGTCTCTTAAAGCGATATTAAACTCAAAAGCAAACATTTATTATATTGCAGCTTACCAATTCTTACATGAGGTGGCTGCATTCGTTTTCATTTGGTGGCTTTCTTTCCTTTATTTTCACCTGGTGATCCAGCCAGTAAATATTTTTGTTTTTCAACAGAACAAGCTGTCCTGCAGATGTAGTAGTTAGAGGGTTGAGACAAACCATTTACCACTGCCAGGGGTGCTTACAAAGATCAGCTTTTATTTATTTATATAAAACCTTTATCCCAAAAGGAAAAAACTGTTTGCTGTAACTGAGAACTTAGAGTTAGGGGATAGGGTTGGGGTTAGGTGTTTAGGGTTTGGGCTAGGGGCTAGGTGTTATGGTTGAGGATTGGAGTTAGGAGTTATATATTGAAGTTAGGGGTTAATTTTTTTTATTTATTGTTGTCTTGTTTGTTTAATTATTTGGTTTAGAGTGTTTATTTAAAAAAACTCCTTTTTTTTTTTTAGGATTAGTGGATTAAGGTTAGGGGTTAATTAATATTTATCTTTATATATTTTATGTATTATTTATGATTTTTATTTATATATGTTTTGTTTATTTATTTGGTTTAGGGTGTTTAAAAAACTTTTATTTATTTTTTTAGGGTTAGGGTAACCCCCTAACCCCAATAAAATAAATTGGGTTAGGTTTGGGGTTAGTTAATATTTATCATATATTATTTATTGTATTTATTATTTATGATTATTTTTATTTATGCTGTCTTGTTTGTTTATTCGGTTTAGGGTTTTAAAAACGTTTATTTTTTTTTAAGGGTTAGGGGTTAGTTAATGTTTATCATTATATATTTATTATTTATGATTATTTTTATTTATGTTGTCTTGTTTGTTTATTTATTTGGTTTAGGGTGTTTATTTACTACCTTTTTTTTATTAAATTTATTTTTAGGGTTAGTGGGTTAAGGTTAGGGTTAATTAATATTTATCATTATATATTATTTATGATTATTTTTTATTTATATTGTCTTGTTTGTTTATTTGGTTTAGGGTGTTTATTTAAAAACCTTTTTTATTTTTTAGGGTTAGGGGGTTAAGGTTAGGGGTTAATTAATATTCATCATTCTATATTATTTATTTTATTATTAATGATTACTTTTTATTTATAGATTTGTTTTATTTATTGAACTTTTTTTTTTTTTCCATTTGAGTAAAAAAAAAGTTCCAAAAATGCACACAAGCTTAAAAAAAAATTGTGAGTTTCAATGCATATTTATGGAGAGAGAAAATAAAAACGCTTCAAAAACACATTACTTTTCCCAAATCAAGCTGGAAAAGTAGTTCCAAAACTTTTTTGAGCTTCAGGCGTTTGGCTTCAGGTGACATGGAGTAGAGATCTGAACCATCTCCATAGAGAATAACTGATTTTTTTCTCCCTAAGTGTTTATGGAGCCTAACACAGGCTAATTTTGTTGCTGACCAGATCACCAGGTGACAACAGAGGGAAAAAATCCTAAAAACAAAACTAATGCAGCTACTGAATGTAAAGATTGGTAAGCTGCAATATATTACATTTTTGATTTTGGGTTTAATACTGCTTTTATTTTGCTCATTGAGCTGCTTTGGTGAAATTTGCTTTAGAAAGAATCTATTTTGTACATTTCTTGTATGTTAGGATTACCAATTCTTGAAGCTAACATTTTGTCTTTTTTTTTTTTTTTTAACTTCAGAGGAAAAAAAGCCAGATCCTCGAAGAACATACACACTGGACGATTATTTTGGTGACCAACTAAGGACAAAATCATACAGCCTTAGGTGGATTTCAGGTAATGTAGTTACTAATATCGGCACAAAAGATCACCAATGTACAACTGACATTACAACACGACTCAACAAAAACTACTTCTATATGAATATTTTATTGTCTTCCATTTACAGCATTAAAAATGGATGGTTGCTGAATCTTTTCTATAGATTGACCTATTTCTTTATTCATTGGATTTAAGTTTTGACAGCATTACAAAATTTAAAGAAATTGCAAAGTTATTTCTTTTTTATTTTCTTAAACAAAGCCTGTTATATTTACCTGCCCTGCTTTGTACAGAGCATCCCTGATCTTCTTCTTGGTTCCCATGCCGATGGTCCTGCTGGTGCTCCTGGCTAGTGTTGAGCTTGAACATCAGCCATTCGAATGTGCGCTGAACACACAAACGGTAAGGATGTTCGGTGGGCTGTTTGCCCGCTGAGCGCCCTACAATGCACTGTGCTCACAGTGCATTGTGAGAGCCACAATTGGCCAAAGCAATACACCTGACCTCAGCACAACACACTGTGAGAGTCATGATTGGCCAAAGTCACGGTGACTTTGGCCAATTATGGCTCACGTTTAAGTCCACGCCCCACACTATATAAGGCTGCTTACTCTCCCTGGGAAAAAATAATAAATAATGATAGTACAAAAACAAAAAGCAAAAAAATAAATAAAAAAAATGATGTAAACAATTGGGCAGAGCTAGCCACACCTATCTGAGGACGATCAAACGTCCCCATCCTTTCCTGCCCTGCCTGGCCTGTGCTCGGATCAAGGGTCTGGTAGGAATTTAGGGGGACCCCATGCTCCCCCCCATTTTTGGGGGGTAGGGTCCCCCTTAAAAGTCCTACCAGGCCTAAAGGGCCTGACATGGCTTTTAGGGGGAACCCCATACAATTTTTTCTTTTACATCTTTTGCTGTGGGGTCAATCCTAACCTTCCTACAGACCTAAAGGGTTTGGTTTTTTTCTAAATGTAATTTTTAAAAAAAATGTCAGTCCTGCTGCAGCAGGTTCTATACATTGTACAGATGTGCAACTATGCAGGTAGTTTAAGGGACCACCACAGGCATGATATTTAAAGGAATTTTTCATTCTTTTCTTTTTACTTTAAGAAAATATGACTGCCCCTTTAAAAATGTACTTTTCTGGAAAAAAAATTTCACTGATTCATGTACCTCAGGGCAGTACCCGAGTCACCATACCCCTTTTATGGCCAATAACTTGCATATAGAGTTAGCCTTCAAAATGGGCACTTTTGAAGTTTGAGCCCCATAGACTTGCGTTAAGTCGTATGCGGTCGAACGTTCATTAGGTTTGCATGTTCGACCTCGAAATGAACACGGAGGTGTTCGGTTCATCACTACTCCTGGTTCCTCCTCTTCTCTGTGCGCCACCATAGGAAGCCACTTCTCATGGTGGCACACGTGAGGGCTTGCTCCCCAGGTGGGTCTGCGTCCATTGACATGCATAGTGTGGCTCAGCCCCGCCCCACACTCCTTTCTCACTGGATTTGATTGACAGCAGCAGGAGCCAATGGCTTCCGCTGCTGCCTCCATGTCCAGTGTGGAGAGAGAAAGCAGTGTTACAACTTTTGGGCACAGCAATGGATCAAGATCGGGCTCAGGTGGGTATTTAGGGGGAAACCTAAAGGATTTATTTACTGTAGTGCAGAGACAGCATTAAGGTAAAACACCTTTTAGTCTTTCCAACCACTTTAAATTATTGGTATTCTCAACCTTTTTTTCTGAAAAGGGTTAAAAAGCCTGAGCTGGTTTACATTTTGTGGTCTGCATTCCTATTGATTGCATTTTTCTCTTCCTTTTCACAACCTCAGACATGAAATATGAACAAAGCATATCCCTCTATAGTGTGTGCTTGTTTCAATTAAGAGCACTAAGTATAATTTCTGTCTGCTGCTTCATTCCTCTGCTAAGCATGAGTCACTTTTTTCAAGTTTTCCTGACACCAAGAAAAAAATGGTGACGAGAGGGAAGGAAGGGACACGTTCCCTTTCACACAAGAACACAGCTGAGGCTGTCAATCTGCTAGAAGTCCCTCCCCTGTCGCCAATCTTATGGCGCTCATGCAATCTGGTGCCTGCGTCAATGATAAATTGACACCCCAAAACAGATTGCAAAACGCAATGCGATTGCCAGAAGTCGCATCGTATGGGTGAGAACACCCATGTGATGTGTTTTAGGTGTGGATAAAAAAAAAGGATCTTGCACCTTTTTGGTATGGATGCAATTTGAGCCATACAAACTGTATGTTGCTGCACAGACATTGCAGGTAATTTGCACAGGAATGCAGTGTGATTCCTGTGAGAAATACACGCGGTGTCCCTCACTGCGTTAGTGTGGCCCCAGTCTGAACGCAGCTACATTGTTTTCATTGGAGCCATTCACACAGGTGTGTAAACATGAGCTGCTGTCAGAACCGTAACACAGAATCAAAAAGTCGTAAATAAAGGGGAAAATGAAGTATCCTAAAAACAAATTATATACGCATTCATATCTTTACTCATTTAAGCGCATCGGTACGTATTTTACTGATCATTAAACAGAACTTTTTTCCTGGAAAACGCAGGTGTAATAATATCAGTAAAATTTTTACGGCTGTGTGAATGAAGCCGAATTGCCAGTGTTGCAAAATACACATGTATGCCTGTAAATTACTGCAATCACTGTTGGTTCACACTGAATCTGACTTTAACCACTAGCCTACAGGGCACTTATACCCCCTTCCTGCCCAGGTCAATTTCCAGCTTTCAGCGCTGTCAAACTTTGACTGACAATTGCACGGTCATGCAACACTGTACCCATTTTTTTCATTTTTTTGTGACAGATAGAGCTTTATTTTGATGGTATTTAATCACCTCTGGGTTTTTTATTTTTTCTTAAACAAACCAAAAACCACTGAAAATTTTGTAAAAAAAAAAGTTTTTTCTTAGTTTTTGTTAAAAATTTTGTAAATAAGTGATTTTTTTCCTTCACTGATGTGCGCTAATGAGGCTGCAGTGATGGGCACTGATGGACACTGATAGGTGGCACTGATGAAGAGGCACTGGTAGGTGGCACTGATGGGCATTGACAGGCATCACTGATGGGCACTGAAAGGCAGCGCTCATATATGGCACTGATAGGCGGCACTGATAGGTGGCACTGATAGGCGGCACTGACTGGCACTGACTGGCACTGATAGGCAGGCACTGATAGGTGGCACTGATGAAGAGGCACTGACTGGGCACTGATAGGTGGCACTGACAGGGCACTGAAAGGCAGCGCTATATGGCACTGATAGGCGGCACTGATAGGTGGCACTGATAGGCACTGCACTGACTGGCACTGATAGGCAGCACTGACTAGCATTGATAGGTGGCACTGATTAGCAGCACTGATAGGTGGCACTGATTAGCAGCAGCACTGATAGGTGGCACTGATTGGCAGGTTGATAGGTGGCACTGACTGGCACTGATGGGTGACACTGAAAGGCAGCTCAGATGGGCACTGATATGTGGCATTGATGTGGTACTGATGGACACTGACAGGTGGCACTGCTGGGGCTACACAGATCATCAGGGCACACTGATCGTCAGTGCCCTGATGATCTGTGTACACGTCCTCTCCGAGGAATGCCGATTACCGTCTCTCTTCTCCTCTCGAACTGTCAGCGTGACAGCTCGAGAGGAGAGAAATGCCAATAACCAGCATTTCCCTGTTTACATGTGATCAGCTGTGATTGGACACAGCTGATCACATAACCGAGCCAACATCTTCGGCTCTTTCCGTTGATCGGTGATCCGCTGTGTCCGAGGGACACAGCGTACCACTGATCGCAGCGCTGCGTGCTCCCTGAGCCACACATGTGCGGTTAGAGTAGGACGTCATATGATGTCCTCCCAGAACGAGAGAACCGCCTTGCGTCCATCATTTTACTATATGGCGGGCTGGAGGCAGTTAAAATCAAGTGGCTTCAAGAGGAGTCGCACAATATCAAGGCCGCATGTCAATGAGACTTTAGGTGCAACTTAGCTGATATCTGTGTGACTTCATGTACACATTTTTATGCCTGAAATCGCAAAAAATTGTGTAGGAACCTTTTTTCAAATGGAAATGGAATGAAGTCACACCGATTTGAACAGTTCCAATGTGGACAATAGGATGCAACTTGTCATGCAATTTTAAAAATGTCAAATCACATGACAAGTCGCAGCGGTATAAACCAAGGCCTAAAACATAACATTTTTTCATTTTAGTTCACAGCCCTGTACTCCTCACTGTATCACTGACCTTTACACAGTTGTGTGCGTTGTTCCATAGACAACAATGCACCTTTGTTTAGACCAGCAAAAAATGTGGTGTGTTTTTCAGCATTGTGCAAAAGGCCTTAAAGGGTAACTCTACTTCCATGGGAAAACATAAACACATTAACCACTTGCCCTCGAGAGGATTTACTCCCCTTCCTGACCAGGCCATTTTTTGCGTTACGGCTCTGCGGTACTTTAATTGACCATTGTGCGGTCATGCAACGCTGCACCCAAATGAAATTTACACCTTTTTTTCCCACAAATACAGCTTTCTTTCAGTGGTATTTGATCGCCTGTGCGTTGTTAATTTTTTGCGCTATAAAAAAAAAAGACAATTTTGAGAAAAAAACTGTATTTTTGACATTTTGTTATTAAAGATGTCCAGTAAAAAAATTGAAAAAATCTAATTTCATCATAAATTTAGGCCAAAATGTATTCTGCTACGTCTTTTTAAAAAAAACATAATCCCAATACGTGTAAATTAATTGGTTTACGTGAACGTTATAACGTTTACAAATGGCGGTATATATACAGAGATTTTTTTTTTACATTTTTTCTAGTAATGGTGGCGATCGTCAACTTATAGCAGGACTGCGGCGGCCATTCTGACACTGGGGGGAACTTACTTGGTGTCACTGACATCCCCAGTGACACCAATACAGTGATCAGTGGTAGTAAAAAGCAATGACACTGTACTAATGGCACTAGGCAGGAAGGGGTTAACATGTGGGGCAATCAAAGGGTTAACTGTGTGCTGTTTTACATAGTGTGCTGTGTGTGTGCTTCACTGCTTTGTATGGCTGTGCTGTGCACAGCCATGCAAAGCAGTTGCAGGAGCTGACAGGGGAGAGAACTGTATTGTTTACATACAGTTCTCTCCCTCCGTTGGAGATGCTCGGCAATCACCGGGTATCGGCGAGTAATCACCAGCCGGGACCTGGTAATTCACAGCCAAGGCCGTGCCCCCTACCCGGAACTGCAACATTTCTGCTATAGGGTGGACGGGAAGTGATTAAAAAAAATAATATAGCATATACAATTGTGACCCAAGTCATACTGTAATTGCTACCTGGAGGCCTTCTCTACACAGATAGTGTACACCCCCAGATGTACGCCCCCAGAAACACCATTTCCTGCTTGGGTGATTGGCTTACTGCTTTTCCCAGAAGTCTGCACCAGTTGCGGGACAAGGTCATCCAGCGCCCAGGGCAAAGATGCCAAACTGCTCCCCCCCCTGTCAGCCTTGGTTTACTGTAGGCACCTTCATCCCTTCAGTAAACCACTGCGCCCAGGGCAGCAGCCCCTCCCGCCCACCTCTTGTCCCAGCCCTGGTCTGTCCTAAGACACAAGTCAGATTTCAGGCATCCACTGAAATGGCATTTTTGGTGAGATACTACCAATAGGAAATCACGTCTAAAGGGAGGCAGACCCTGCCACTTTCCTCATTGGAGCCCTGCAGGTGCTACAACTGAATAAAATATTGAGACCACTCCCATATTCCTGCCACTGACATCAACAATGGGACATTATTCCTGCCACTGACACCAACAATGGTGCACTATTTCTTCCAATGACACCAGCTATGGGATATAATTCCTCCCACTGACACCAACAATGGGACACTATTCTTCACACTGACACCAAAGATAGGACAACAAACCTCCCACTGACACCAACGATGGGGCAGTATTGCTCTCATTGACACCAACGATGGGGCACTGTACCTTCCACTGACACCAACAGTGGGGCACTATTCCTCCTACTGACACAAATTGCTTCAAACCCTAATACCAAATATGGGGCATTGTTTACTCCCACTGGGCACAATCTGGCCCCCCTAAAGTCTGAAGGATAGTAAACTGGCCCTTCTTTTAGAAAGTTTGGAGACACCTGATCTAGCCCATTCCTCTCCAGCTTTGAGGTCCCTGGCCTGCTCCTCTCATTCATTATTTCAGTTCTTTCAATCATGGAGGCTCTATATGCAAGACAATAGCTCGCTTAGGGATGCCCACTCCTCCAGACTGACACCCACACATCAAGGCATTTTGATATTTGCATAACTTCTCCCAGGAGCCAGCTCACTGCTTGCATCAGGGCTGAGGGCTCTTGAGAGAAATACTGAGACAGGGTGCTTTTGGGAAGCTATATACAGCACTTTCTTGAGCCCTCCCACCAGGCCTGTTTCTGCCTGTATTGCATAGACAAGCACAGAGACCCAGTAAGGATGTCCCTGGGTCCAAAATAAAGTATGCTATGAAATCAGAAAGGTTTTATTTAAAAATGTCATGAGCATATTGAGGAGGGGGGATGGAGGAACCATGAAAGGCAAAATATAAGCAGATACAACATTAATGTATGAATTACAATAGTAGGCAAAAAATATATAAAAGAAAAACTACATGCAAGGTAAAACCTCATACTGTGAATGCACAAAGTGAATGGCTATTTACAAATGTCTGATTTGACTAGTCCCTTTTCCTTTGCCTGCCTTTTTATGGACAGAGCTTCCAGAGTTGTTCTTCTTTAATCTCATATTACTGCTGGTGTGGAAACTCCACTAGATCCATCTCATGTATTTATTTGTACTTTTTCACTTTGTTCTTTCCTGTGTGTGTTTTCTTTCATTGTTGAAGCTTTTTTAATCAAATTGTTATGTAGCCAACTAAAAAGTTAAAGCCCCACTCCTGGCAAATAAAAAAACTATCCCTTGCGGTGGGGCTGCCCCCACATTACAAGGGTTAATAGCTCCTTTTGTGTTCAGGGGAGAGGAGAATCAGGTTTACTTGCCTGATCTTCCACTCCCACGGCAGGCGACGCTTCTCTACAATCCAGCGGTGGACTATCCCTTGGCATCCTCATGACCAGTGCAGGGCTATGGATCCTGCTCTGACCTTTGAGACATTCAGACCCTAGACCAGTGAAGCATTGGGGGTGACAATGCTGTGGGAACCAGACTAGTTGCAGGAAGGAGTAGAAGCAGGGGCGGGCTGACCATTTGGGAACTTGGGCACTGCCCGAGGGCCCGGGGTCAGTAGGGGGCCCCATGAGATGCCCCTGGTACCTTTCATGGTGTTTTTTTTCATGGGTGTGGTTTGAGTGTGGGTGAGGACACATGGGCCCCATGATCCCCTATTGCCCGGGGGCCCCATGAGTTGTCAGTCCGCCCCTGAGTGGAGGATCGGGTAAGTAAATCTCCTTTTATTTTTCCGTAGACATAAACAAGCAATTAACCCTTGCAATGCATGCACAGCCTTACTGCAAGAGATCATTTTTTATTTGCTGGAGTTGGGCTTGAATAGTCTTTCTTTTAAAGCTGAAGTTTAGGTATGGCAATTTTTGCATAGCTACATTGATCCAGCATGGATCCAGTAACATGAATGAAATGTAAGTTTTGTACACTTCAAACAAAGTTTGTACAAAACAACTACAAAAAAAAAAAGGAGCTATATTATTATTATTATTATACAGTATTTATAAAGCGCCAATAGTTCGCTCAGCGCTGTACATTACAAAGGGGGTCAGAACATGTGACAGAACAATACCAATACAATGTGATACACGGGGGGTTCGAGGGCCCTGCTCTTTCGAGCTTACAATCTAGGAGGGAGGGGATGGTGGCACAGGAGGAGATAGCTGTCGGGGATGGAGTGGTAGGAAGAGTGGAGGAGGTCGGCAAGTTAGCAGGGGGCGGGGTAGGCTTCCCTGAAGAGATGGGTTTTCAGGGTGTGCCTAAAGGAGAGGAGAGTAGGTGATAATCTGATGGGTTGGGGCAGGGAGTTCCAGAGGATGGGTGACACCCTGGAGAAGTCCTGGAGGCGGGCATGGGAGGAGGAGACCAGGGAACTAGAGAGAAGGAGGTCTTGTGAGGAGCGGAGTGTGCGTGCTGGGCGGTACTTGCATATTAGGTCAGTGATGTAGTTCGGGGCAGTATGGTGGACAGCTTTGTACGTCAGCGTTAGGATTTTGAATTTGAATATGATGCTCTGAATCACACACCACACTGCCCTCTACTGCAGCCAGGGCTCAACAGCTGCTGGAGTGGTAAAGCACTCCAGTAGCTATCCGTTCCTGTGCAAACTTAGTCTGGTTAAAAAAAAGACACAACCTGGTCCATGCGTAGCACCTAAACAGAGCTCTGGTACTGCTTGGGCTTTCGGCTGGAATACAGGGGTTTCTCAAGCTGATGATCAGCCCGTCACATCAACCGCTTGGGAGGTACTTGTGTATGCCTACACCGAAAAAGAAGTACCGCGGAGGGGCCCACAGATCTTTCACTCACTACCACCTCTGAGCCCGATAAAAGTTCCACAAGGTGGGACATGGTGTCAGCTCGCAGCCTGCCCCCACTACTTCTGCTTCTCAATCCCCAGAGCCTCCATTGCTGGATCAGGAAACATCTAAGGACAGTGAGTACCCTTTGCTGACCAAAGCAGATCTTGAAAATAGCCTAGAAGCTTTATGCGGCAAACTTATTTCTATGTTCCAGAATGAATTGCAAAGATCTACAGCCAC